GGGCCCAAACGTTTTAGGTTAGAAATCTACCATCACTGCCCTCAATTTTGAAAGTGTAGAAGCTTGACTGCCATTCAAGTGAAAACCACACATCCCACGGTGGCCTTATATGGTGGTACGCCATTCCATATTCTTTGTTTAACAGGATGGAAAACATGAGAAACTAGTAAATCTTCATCATCATGGAGTCTGTTCTTTGCGTTCAGCCTCACACAATGATTTACAATACAAACATTATCATCGTACTGAAATAGTTGCATGCATTTGATCTCAAACCAGACTAATATATCAAAAGTAAATCTCAAAGTATTTGAGCAATTATTCTAAATAAATAAATTGAATAATCACAAGCATTCAATTGACCAATCAGAAACGGTCACATGGAACGAGCTGTTGGCAAGGTACAACGAAATGACGAGTTGTACAGTACTGGCCGATTGTGATACACTAAAACATTTTCTTTATGATCAAAGGGAGTTCCATTATATTTATCTCCCATATTAATGCTTTAGGTATGGACAATAATTTATATCTTGTCTACTTTGATGTACGTAGTTTCTGGGCTGCATGATTGTCAATTAAACGTGCCTGACCTTGAGTGCCAAGAATAAATGATCTGAACATGAGAATCGCAAACTGTATCAAGTATGACAACGCAATACTTTCTAATAAGACTAACTCAAAAATTATCCCAAATTATTTCCGTTAACCCTTGCCATTTCCCTTATTTGTANGCTATTGGATAACCAAATGAAATTCTTTCACAACCCAGAGAAATTGCATTAAATAAGGTTTCATAATAATAATCTATGTTTTATATCTAACTCATTCAATTCGAGAAATATCATCTCAATTAAAGTCAACCTTGAAATCAAGGTCATTTTTTGTGCACAGCTTTGAATGTTCGTACTGTTGTCACCATAATGAAGCAAGCAGAGCTTGAAACCAAAAGTTACCGTTATCTCAGAGATAGGTCAATGTGCTACCTATGCATTGGACCTTGGAGGCAAAAGTGCGATACGTAATGAAGCACAACATAGAAAATGACTTCATAACAAAGTTGGTGGGTTTGACGCCG